TATCATTTCATTGTCGTATCACGCTGACTCTTTAGCACATTGTGTAAGGTAGCTCGAGGCAAATAGGAAAATTGATTTTCCTAGATCGAATTCATAGATTGACCTCACTCACAGACTGTAGCTGACATATTAGAAACTCTTAATCATTTTAGTGCTGATCCATTCTTAATCCGATTGCGCTCGAATTTTTACCAGTCCAGTCTTGCTCACAGTGATTAATGATTCTTCTGTTTTACCTTCGAACTTGAGCAATTTTTCAGTGGTAAAAAAAAAAGTGAGATCAGAAAGAAAATCACCAGAGTAATAAAAATTTTCGTAAGCAGTCTCCGTTCGATTTCATGTAATTTTAATAACGATTGACAGCACTGAAATGCACAAAAGTAATAGTCAGTTGAAGCATGAAAAGAAGCATTTTTTTTTTTTTAATTTCATATTAATACTCTATTGATTGATTAATTCTTGTTTAATGAACGAATATACGATCTTCTGTCACAGGTGGTCACGATCCTCTTGGAGAGAGGAGCTGCAGTCGATCATCAGGATAAGGATGGCATGACACCATTGTTAGTGGCCGCGTTCGAGGGGCACAGAGACGTTTGCGAGTTGCTGCTGGAATACGAGGCTGATGTGGATCATTGCGATGCTACTGGGCGCACACCTTTGTGGGCAGCTGCCAGCATGGGTCATGGATCAGTGGTCGCTCTTCTCTTATTCTGGGGATGCTACGTTGACAGCATTGATAACGAGGGCAGGACCGTTTTGAGTGTGGCTGCTGCCCAAGGTGGCACCGACGTAGTGAAACAATTGTTGGACAGAGGTATCAAATACTGCCTTCCTCCTCCTTTTTTTTTTTTTTTTCTCCTTCTGAATTATTTTTGTTTCCACTTCTCTCCAATCTCTCGTAATTCAATTCTTTCAATTGGTCGCAATTGCTTAGGCTTGGACGAGCAACACAGGGACAATTCAGGATGGACGCCGTTACATTATGCGGCATTCGAAGGCCATATCGACGTTTGTGAAGCATTGTTGGAAGCCGGAGCGAAAATTGACGAAACTGACAACGATGGGAAAGGTGCTCTGATGCTAGCTGCCCAAGAAGGGCACGCTGCGTTGGTTGAAAGGCTCCTAGAACAGCATAGAGCACCGATCGATCAACACGCTCACGATGGAAAGACTGCTCTTAGGTAATCTACAACAACAACATAGATCTTCTGTCCATTCTATTTTGCTCCTTCGTTCTTTCACATCTTTCTTCCCATCTCCATACTCACTCTTTCACGCGTATTAATTTTTATTTAGAAAAAAATACTAAATTATGATTTTATAAAAAAAAAATTAAAATCACAGACAAATTTATAGATGCTGGAGTATCATTCTTTTTAATAGTTTTTGTCTCCTTTTGTTATTAAAATTTCATTCACTGAAACTTGTTCTAAATTAGCAAAATACTCAAAAATTTGTTGGAAGTTTTCATTCTAAAAATATTGTAAATTTTTAAAATGGATAGAATTAGTACTTAATAACTATACCGTGTATATAGATTTTAAAATGTACATGATTATAAATTATGAAATATATGTAATTATATTATGATCACGTACTCTACAAATATTTAAACGATGCACGTCTTTTGATCGCCAGAGAATTTTAATGTTTATTTCATAATTTTCAATCTCACTAGAATGTGGATTTTCCTGTGTATTATTTTCAATTATCAATGTATCATTTTCAGACGATTTTTCTTCTACAGAAACAATTTCTAGATCTGAATCTG